AAACAGTTTTGAGAAGGTGCCACGATTTTGATGTTGACACATACACGCTTTGTTGTAGTGCAATGTCGTCATTTGTCCAGTGTCACGATTAAACCCCACTTTAAAATACAATTTCTTTGTACTGAAAGCAATACCCTTTTAGTTATTTTAACCAGTTTCCAATCACATGAAAACAATTAGACAAATGAAGAATTGCATTTGTATAGAGTTACGTAACACAGAAAGATTAGATAAAGAAAACTTATAAAGGTAGACTGATGTAAGAGAACTTTCTCAATGCTACAGTTGCAAAGACGCACCAAATCTATACACTTTGTAAAGTTTGGAAAGAAAGGTTTTTTTTATCCCAACCTATCTCCATCCCTATAAATAATGTTCTTTCTAATTTTGATTGAATTCTTTACAGGCGGACACGCTTCGTGTATCAGTTTAACTACATACTTTAGCAGTAAATTTCAGGTGTTTTAGACATAAATCTATTTGTTCTGGACCTTAATAAAACTTAATTTGTTGGTTTGATTGCTAATAGTAATCTCGATGATTTGCGGGCGATACGTGTTGCGGCCGGATAAGTGATGACAATAGCGAGATCGGAAAGGTTGATTTTTTAGCCTGTACCACTTTGCTCTTCGCCGTTTTAACATTACTTTATTACTTTTGAAGGTATTTATCTACTAAGATAGCATCTTAACCTCTGTCGATATAACAGTTTTACAGCTGAAATGTGTAAAATCATCTCCACAAAACAGGGTAAAATGTGTTGGATTTAATATATGAAAAAACATATTATTGCGACCACCCGTTAAAAGATTATTTCGCGGTTTCGTCAATGTAATCAAAATGTAATCATGAAAAAATGACAAACTCTCCGTCAGTAATTAGTGATAAATGATGTTCTGTTCTGATTATATGAAATAAATTATGTTATTTACTGATGACACAATCAAAAATTAAAGAATTTAACAACGAAGGTACAGCTTTTATCCAAATTATACATACAAAAATGTGTATATCATTTAATTATTTTTTGGGGTGTATTTGATCTACCTTAATTTAAAATTAACATTTGTTTAAAATCGTAATGATACCAGCCTATTGTTCAGAAAAGTTATTTAATAATTATTTGCAGTAAGCAACTACGCGTAGTTGACATTGGTTTTTGATATATATTTTTTTTAATTGTGTGTATTTCCTTTGAAAAGGACAGAAAAGTGCTCTTTTAAGTTAATTGTGTGAAAAAGGAAAAATTCCACACAAAAAATATATTATAATTCGTATATGCAATAAAATAATAGTTCAGTTCAGAAACTCTATTTCCCACATATAGACATAAGCGATTTAGAAAAGAAAAGAAAGAAAAAAAAAAGTTCAGCGGACTGAAAATTGGTTGAGATATATAAAATAAAATAATTTCGCGTTCCACATGACTGAATAAAGATCTACATCAATGGAATGGCTATTCTAGTACAAATCTATTTTCACAGCATTAAATTTTCCACTCGTATAAACTCATTACCTTTCTAACACATGTTCTTCATAGTAAGTGACGCGAAAGTTGATTCAAATTTCACGCTTTTTTATGCATCTCTAAACCGCCAGTAGCAACTTTACAGCGACAAGTATTTGTATGCATTGAACACAGTTCCCCCGTGGAGGCAGGGTGTTCCGTACTAAATCATATAGTAATTTGTCATTTTTTTCGCCGGGCCCCAAAATGCATATATATGCGATTATTATTCTAATACGTATCTTTCAAACAAATTGAGATGTTAAGAAAATCATAAAAGTATATCGCGTGTACAATTTTCTAATATACGTTTTATTTATTACTCTGGCGTAGCAAGTTAAAGTCATTTAGAGTAAATTGAAAGTTGTATCACTGGGCTTGAATGCTATTAAATTCAGCCTGGGTTCGGGTTTCATTTAATTTACGACAGTATATGTGCTTATTAGCTGTAAAGTAAAGCTAGCACAGATGTTCACGCTCATGGATATGGTTATTTAGTCAGTTACATGTAGGTATTGGTAGTAAATATTAAATATACCTTTATATATATAGGCATTTGAATATACCATTACGATTGCATTTGCAACCTGTACAATAATAATTATGTAGACAGGAAAACAAAAATTTATTAAGGCCACCGACCCATATACACACTTATCATAAATATAATGAAACAACAACAACAACAACAACAACAACAACAACAAAACATCAGATCATGAAACTTTTGTAATTTTTCTTTTTTTAATATCCTTTTCTTTTTTTTTCTTCATTTCCTTTTCTCTAATTTTCTTTCGTCTTCGATAGAAAAAAATTCATATAAGTTTCATTTGGTAAACAAACACTTGATTTTCTGGAAAAAAAAATACATTTTGAAATTTTGAAATTTAGGTATTTATTATACTTTATAAATACTTTAAAGGAACTCCACTGAGGTCCAAAAAATGTAAAAACATAAAAGTTTAATTTCTGACATAGATCAGCCGGGGCACTTTGCACAGAAAAATATGCAAAACATGTTTAATAAAAATACTAAAAAATCGATTTCAGTGAGAAGCATTGCACCGCATTTAACTTTTGTTCATTTAAATTTCATTTGCAATATTTTGAATATTGACTTTTTATAGAATATGCATAATGTAAAATATTTTGTTTTGTTCGCCAGATATCATAAGTGAACTTGTCCATCTTCCGATTAGGACAAAACCATTCAGCATTTTAAGGGAACAAAATTAAAAAATGCATTGACTAAATAGCGGACAATTGCAGACCACAATTAGTCGACACGGACTACTCTGCTCACATTGGCAGATTCAGTTGACGACACAGCAGGAAACTGTTGCAATAGTAAAAACAAAAAATTAAGTCGAGTTCACTAAGTGCGTATATCATCCTATATCTATTGCTCTGTTATTAATACGTATTTTATTGTATGTTAGTTTATCTTTGTGAAAATAACCACTTGTATTTTACTGTTGGAACATTGCTTTACTTATACCGTTTACACAATCACTGTTATTGTTGTCTGTGGAATCTGACGAGTCAATTCGTACAAAAGGCTATCAATTCCTTTAGAGATAAAGATCAACAAAAACACTATAGTTCCGAGATACGATCCACTATAATACGCGTTAAAACCGTGCACGGGTGCTTCACTTTTGCATGAAGTTAGCGTACTCTTGCACCAATACATCTTAAGTTAAATTCTGAACAAACTGTTGTTATCTGTTACGTCACTGTACCGATATATCAAACAATTTATATTACTATCGAATTGTACATTGAGAAATAAAATTTCCATCCACTAACACGTGCTGAATGAAATATGCTGTTGAACTCTCCCGTGCGAAGATTCCAACACTCGCGTGCCATTAAATAAGAACTCAACCATCCAAGTAACCTTATTAATTTTATTACGCACCGAAACCTGCCTCTTTTATGTTCTCGAGTGTCTTTGATTTAAGAAACTTGTAGAATTGTTTGAACATTTTAAACTATTTATAACAATTCTTTCTTTTTTCTCTCTATATTTTTGGAGTACAAGTTGATAACAATACAGAATACAATTTTAAAAAAGACCGTTGTGTCGCAGCTAGAAATCAAATTCACATACACGGACTGTCATTTTAAAGCCCGCGGTTCTATGCATATAACACTATCTAATGGCACATAAATATCTGTACATCTTATATTTGATATTACTATGATATCGGACATTCACGTCCGAATGATCACGTTTACTGGTACACAGGTTTTTACCTTAAACATACCCGTGTTCGAATCCTGCAGTGACGTTGAACTCTTTGGCAAGATAGCTTCCCGACGAGCTTACTGGAATGGTTGTTTTCCCCGAAAAACGTGTTGAGCAGCTGGAGTGCTGATTTATCGGGGAATCGGGAAAATAAATAGAAATTCGCCGTTTATACTTACTATTATTGTTTCCGACTTAAAAAGCAGACCAAATGCTCAAATAGTAATATAATAAAAATATCTCTTACATAAAGACATATTTTACGACCACCTACTCTCAAATGCGTCCCTTTATATCATTTCAATTATAGAAAAAAAACTTGCATTGTATCTTTTTTGAATCAATTTATAAGCTTGTTTAGGGCTATTCGGACACAAAAATGTTAAGAGCGAAATATATAATTTCGTCAATGATAGTTGTCGGGTAATTCAATACAAAGATAGTTTACAATAGTCTAATTTACACTGATGTGAATTAAGAAGTTATGTTTGAAAACAAATTGACCATGGTTTGTTGAAAACTGATATCGTTGATAGGAAACTTTCATGGCGGATAGAATCACAAACTTATATTTCAAATATGCAAGTGTGCATCAAACCAACGACCTTTTTCGTGTTTTTGTGATTTAAGGACTCGTCACTATTACATTATAGCTAGTGCAATCGTATTTGTCATTTCTTTTAGCTTTTCATTTAAGAAAAATGTTTATCTGAATCACAACTGTTTACCTGAATTATTATTAGTAAATGTATTACCAGTGCTTAACTTGATAAGTTGAATATTTCATTTGTTTAAGAACGACTATACTAGTTATGAAGCCAAATACCTTTAAAAACAATCTGTCAAAATTTGTAATAGTCAACTGATAAATGAAAGTAATTAAATGACAAATAAACAAAACTTTTAAAGGACAGAAACAGGGAATTTTGATATCTTTAAGTTACTTGCTTTTTTTACTTAGTAAGATACTCGCCCTACCTTGCAAAACAATAAAAAAGAGAAAAAGGACATGTTTCAGACACCTTGAATCATAGTTCCGTTTTTATTGTTTTTCATGTTCATTGTCACGTGATTATTTGGTAGCAGACAGATGGAAGAGCAATTATTGTCGTCTGCCAGCATGACTAAGGCGCATGAAAGTCTTTGGCTTGTGCTCATTGTTATGCATCGGTGAAACAAAAAGAGGATAATTAGAAAATAATTCATACCTCAAACAAGTTCTATGAGTAATTGTAATTTCAGGTTGTCGGGAGACAGCTTTCATCTATGCAATAACAAGTGCAGCAGTCGCACATTCTGTCGCACGCGCATGCGCGGACGGAAGTATTTACACATGTACATGCAATTACAATCTTCGACAACCACATGGCGTGGACTGGGAGTGGGGAGGATGCAGTGACAATGCCAACTTTGGAAAGAAGTTTTCAAGGAAATTTGTTGATGTAGCAGAAAAGGGGCGTGACTTCCGATACATGATGAATCTGCATAATAATGAGGCCGGTAGACGGGTAGGTATACTCTGATATTTAACAATAACAAATGGCCATTTTCCGCCCTATCTTTATACACAGTCCGTTTAAAATGGAAAAAATGAAATAACCGCTATTAATTCGAAAGATAATTCACAAGATTAAAAAATTGCTTTCCGATGTTACAAAAACTATGCCATTCGATCTTGACAAAGTAGCATTGGCTAACTTTTATTTTCTTACACTAAGTAAACTTATTTTACATTTATTCAATTTTCTTAAATTCGCTGGTGTATTATTCTTGTCTGTTTTAATTCAATCTTTGACGTCGCCTGTTGAACTTTCGCGAAAAGTGCAAACTAAAGTGTAGTTTGATGACAAACTAGGGCTGTTGAACTTGGAGACAGATTACGCTCTCCGCTAGATCAAATCATCGTGATTGTGCGATCACAATTAAGTGCGAAATAACTCTATCAAGTAAATGAACATTTACCTGCCAACGCCAACAATAGAGGAGTCACGGGTGAGCGGATGTCAATACTAAATAGCCGCGCTCTGTCTGTTTACGACGGGCTTAATACGATGTTGCGAACGATTTGATACATACAATCTTGTATTACTCAACCAAGTTTAAATACTTGTAAGATCACATTGTAAAAGTATTTAGACAATGATGACCCAAAAGAATCAACAGTGATAAAACTGTAAAATTTCATTTTGAATTTGATGAAAATGTGTTAAAACCAATAACAGTAAGACTTGAAGTTAATGTTTCCGCAAAATATTTTTTTTAAACGAATGAAAATAGTTTTATACGTGATATTACCCCCTTTTTAATAAACAAAAATGAAGACATCTAGATATTATATAAGATTTTACAGTAAATTTATTTGATGATTTGGAAATGAATTTAAACTTTTAGCACTAAAGAGGCATATTTGAAGACGTAAAAAATTATGTTGTACTAGCTTGGGAATCTTACACAGAATGTCACATTGGTCCACGTTCAAGTTTTCAAGTTCAAATTCATTTCATGCTATATGTGCCCCTTGGACCATCATTTCCATTATGCTATCAAAATGTGGAAACGAGATCCCTCTGGAGCAATGAAAACATAGTTTAAAAGTAAAAAATGCAGTCTCGCTTTGATTTATTCTGTTCAGGAGAAATATTGTTAAATCAATTATCTGTCACACACCCTGGCACCGGCTGAAGAAAATATCCAGTCTTAAATATAATAATAAATGAGGAATCAGTGATCAAGATGATCAGCAAGCTATCATGACACTGCTGTAATAAACCTAATTCCTTAACTGTTTAATATAAGATTCGCCTTTTGATATAACGGAAACAAAATCCACATTTGCATATTTGTAGCCCCTTTTTTTATTAAAACATAATGCATATACTATTACTTATATGAACGTATTTGTTTTTGAAGGAACTCATAAACATATGTAAATTGATATCAAAATTAAATTGAAACATTATCGGGGACAAAAATTATTCACTTAAATTTTTTGTCATATCTTAAAAATGTAATAAAAAGAAAAACGCATTTGAAAAGCATACAATCTTTCTTTATTTCGGAAATGTAACAATAAAATAAATTCTAGTAAATGATCGCACCTTATAAAAAACACGCAGGGTCTTCCTACATAACATCTAAGACCAGTCAATTATTCATATATATCTTTAATAAAAGTGAATCCACTGAGGTTTTTTTTGATAGACAGTGACTAAAAATGTTTTTTTTTAAAGAATTGCTTACCATTTGATTAAGGTCTGGACTAAAAATATGTGTGCGAAATTTCAGATCCTTCCCTAACTCAATTTTCCAAGACTAATCAATTTGTATCGTGCAAATGACTCAAAAATGAATAACGTTTAAACACCTTTCACTGTAAAACAGAGATAAGAATCGTACAAAAAGTTTTCAATTTTACTCTGAGTATATTTCTTTATAATTATCTTTTGCAGATTTTCCCAATTTAAGGGCATCACTTGATTTTTGTGTAAAAAAAATCCAATTTTATACAAAATATTGATTATTTTTCAGCACATAAAGCGTGAGATGGAGAGAGACTGTAAATGTCATGGTATGTCAGGAAGCTGTACTATAAAGACTTGTTGGATGAGGTTACCAGTGTTCAGAAAAGTCGGTGATATTCTTAAAGATAGATTTGATGGTGCGTCCAGAGTTTTACCAGGTCAGCTATTTATTAATTGACGTTATTTATAAAAATATATAATATGTCAGCCAATTTGATGATGATTCCAGAGATTTACCAGGTCAGCTATTTATTAATTGTCGTTATTTATAAAAATATATAATATGTAAGTCAATTTGATGATGCGTTCAGAGTTTTACCAGGTCAGCCATTTATTAATTGTCGTTATTTATAAAAATATATAATATGTAAGCCAATTTGATGATGCGTCCATCAGAGGTGATTGTTTTAAGTACAGATGAACGCTTGACAAGAAGTGACTTGTTTACAAAGGAAGGTATATTTTTTAATGATTTTGTATACAGTTAAATGCAAAATGCCTCCAAATATGTTTATGTCTTACGTGAGCCTAGACATTGCTGGAATAAGTAAGTATAAATGTTGGCGAGTATACACATTAGATGATTAAACATTTACAGAAATTACCTTTAACTAGTTACTCTTCTATATTCGGACTTTTGGCCAGATTGTTAACATTTTCCATTTTACTTAGACATAATTTTTTTTTCGTTTGATATTTTCCATAGTTATGTTTTAGGCAAAAGGATTTGATGATAATAAAAAGGAAACAATTGCAGCGCCTTGTTTGATACCTAGGCATTTTTTCCTGGTATTATTTACAATGCCAGTGAACAATAAAGATTGTGCGTAAGAGACTTTATTTTAAAATCAAAGCAGGCATAATTATGACCTATTATTGTCAACATACATGTAGTGGTAAAATGTCTACCAAAAGTCTTGAAAAATGTTAAAAGGTTAAATGGAAAGAGGAAAAAACCTCAATAACCTGTGTAACAACTTTTAGAGGACGTGTTCTCGTCTTGTCATATCTGAAATTGACTAATGTTTAACTGTTTATGATAAAAAATTGAAATTTGCTTCAAATGAAACGTTTAGAACAATCTAAAACAGGTAAAGAATAAATTTATATTCATTAAGTACCAATTTGTCTAAGAATATTTATTACTAGTATCTTTAGAATCACTTGAAAGGTCTTTATTATCGAAATTTTTGAGTCAAGTAATAGCATCGAAAAAAATTATTATGAATTCAACTGAAACCTTTGTCAACATCAATGTTATTTTTTTTAAGTGTATAAAGCTCTATCCGATGCAATATTTTTAACAAGTCAAATATAGTTAAAATATGTTGTTTTCATAATCTTGCTGTTGCTTGAAGGATTTTGTAACATAGATTGTCTATGTTATTTAATATACATGAATATAACACGTAAACAGATTAAATTTTCCAAGAACAAAATATTCCGTTCTTATTTGTGTAGATTTTACGATGATTTCACGCATGTCCCACTCGCTATCAATATTTTCTTTCACATTAGGTATTCTGTAAGCATTGTGAACAAAATTTTAAGTCACATGCAGCAAATATATAGCTTTATACACTTTACAGAAGCGCACGAAGCAGTCCAAGGTAAGTAACTCAGCTTATAATTCCAGACTTGCGAAGAGATTCGAATAGATGATATTGGTAAGCAGAGTAAGGTTGAAATAGAAGGTATAGCATATTAAGACAAGGTATCAGATGGAATGAAAGTAAATGGGGTTAAGAGAAGGAACCGTTTCAAAACTTAAAACGGAAAACTTCTATACTCAAAAGGTGCAACGCAAGCATGCGTTATTGAGCGCAATTGCCAACACTTCTGTTGAAATGCAAACATGATGACAGAAAATTTAATTCAAACTATTACATACGCAATCTTGTAAAACAATATTTACCATAGTTAGAAAATGTAGCGCAGGCGGCCAAGCGATATATTAGTAAACATTTAGACATCATGTGTTCATTACATTTCCATAATGTAGTGTAGAAGTTGAGGTTGTAACTCCAAAACTTGTTTGTGCTTGTTCTACTAGACCTTTGCAAACCTTCTCACCCGGTTTTATTAACCCTAATCTGTTGTCATCTTATTTAAATCATATCAGATTCAGTTCAATATTTTGGTACCTACGAAATAGCAAATGCATTTGTATGTATGTTTTTTATTCAACATTAACATTTTAACAAAATTTCAATATTTACGAGTTACCTGTCATTCAACTGATGTTAACTACATATAACTACATAAAGAAAACCTTTAAAAGTGAAAAGGTGTGCATAGATTTAGTAGGCAGAGTTTTGTATGGGTTAGGGGAGTGGTTATATATCTTATCAGCCAATCAGTTTATTCGTTTTCATATATTCATTACGATGTTTATTCATATACAACTCTATCGATGGATAACCTATAAATATCTTAATACTACCTTTTCTCATTCTATATCATGCCTTATGTGCTATTCGATAATTCTATTAATGTTTTTTGCTCAAATGTTATTAACTTTCTTTAACTTTTATATTTCAGTATTCCTATACATAACTACTTGTTAAAAATCTGTACACATCAATCAATGAATATATAAATATTGTATAATCTTTATTCAAGTTAACGTCATATTAAGATTCGATTTGAATGTTTTAATCGCTTTAAATTTAATATGTATGACATGTACATAAACAAACAAACACCAACACCAAATAAAAGACAACAAAGGCCTACATGTTATCATTTATATGTTATCACCTTAGCCAATGAGCGTTTTGTCATCATACCATTATTAGTACAGATTTAGGACTCAAAAAAGTCCTTATTATTTAGATTGATAGTTTGTTTCCCATCACAGCTAGAACAAACACACAAAAAAACCATCTGCTCTGAAATAATTCTGTTTACTTATATAAGCTTTAAAGCAGACCAACGTAAATTGTGTATTTCCATAATTTGATAAGATCTTTTAATTTGATTTTAGGAAATGAGGGACGAAATGACGCAGAAGGTCAGTAATTCACGTTGTCGTAGTACATGTTTTATTTGTTTTGTTTTTGTCTTTTTTTTAGGTATTTGGTTTGTGTAAACAATGATTTCTGCAGAGCAATTATCACTGCTAATGCGTGGAAGGTCGAATCTTAAAAAAAAACATTGCAAAACAATTAAAAATGAAACTTCAAAACGAAATTTATGTGTCTTTGGAATATTTAGTTTTTTATTTAAATTGAGTTTGTGCATTATTTATATTTACACTGTTTTTTTGTGGAAAGAGATAATTTATTTAGCAATGAACGACGCTTTTGCTCACATATTTTAGTATTTTCTCCAATCGGTGTCCAGAAGTTGAAGAATCTCTAGTAAAACCTAGCGTTGGATTTGCTCGCACAAGTATTGGCAACCTAAATGCTCTGGGGATATTTGTATAACCTCTATACTGTATAAAGATTCAAAATGGATGCATAGTTACTTATAAGTGTTAGCTATTTCATTTCTCATCTTGCTTGGCTTGGCTGCCTTAAGCTTCTTAGCGTCTTTGCTTGTTATATTTGTATTTATGCTAATGTATATCAGCGTTGCTTATATGTTGTCAATTTATTCATGGTAGACTGGTCCAGAATTTTCTCATTTTCCTCCTAATATATACGCTTATGATCGGATTAAGATTTAATGGATTTAACATATGATTAGGTCTCTGGCATGTATGATATACTTTGAATTTGGTGACATCGCATGAAAAAAATGTTTCCCCTATTTACGTGTGGGAGTAAAATTGAAAATAAGTGTATGCGAATACCTAAATTGAATGTAACATTTGATATTATCGTTAAAATATTTATTGTTGCCTAGAACCATGTTGGCATGTTTGTTCAAAAAACGCATTTGCTTGCTTTGATGCCAGTGAAACGACTACTTGTGTTGGATTGTTTGAACAATTTTTAACGTTACCTCCCTTGGAATGTTAAAAACATATAATAGATATATTGAATTGGTTTGTGCTTTACATGAAAATGTCCTGTTTTATGTTTGTCTTTAACTTGCTATATTTAACCCTGCCATTAAAAATTAAATCGACTATAAATAAACAATGTCATTTCTTTAGTTACTCAAATTATAAGACAGCTATATACACTAACATGTTTATTTCTTTTCATATTTTAAAAAGAAAGTTGAAAATTCAAGTGCCATTTTTTTTGTTTTTCTTCAGTTTAAACAATAAGTTTTCAATTTTAATTTCAGCAAACAACAATGGTGGCCGAAGATCTAAGAAGAAATTGAAGTTGGAACCGGCTGACCCTAATCATAAGCGTCCTGACAAGAGGGACTTAGTGTATTTTGAAGAATCTCCGGACTTCTGTGAGGCTGATGATAGTGCGGGAACATTAGGAACAGTAGGAAGGGAATGCAATGCCACATCAATTGGGATTGATGGGTGTGACTTAATGTGTTGTGGGCGTGGTTACAAATCTGAGACATATACAGTTAGGGAAAGGTGTAGCTGCACGTTTCATTGGTGCTGTGAGGTTAAGTGCAAAATTTGTACAAGGACGAAAATACGGCACACATGTCTGTAAGCAGGATTGAGCAAGTGTTATGGAAAAGGGTCAAGTAAAGGTGGTGCTAATAAATATGTCAATAGTGTTCGTATTGAATATATGATATTCGAGGAACTATATAAAGGGTCATAAAGGGTCGAAAAATGCCTCTTACATGTTAAACCATATTATAATTATGCCGGAATTGTACTCATTAAGGAAACAATCATGGTTACTAACGGTAACGATAGCTTAATGTGCTACGTAAATTGTGCAACATTGTTACGTAACGTACACATCAATTGCATATTAGTGTTCAACAACATTTTGTGTGCTAAATTGTGTAGTTATTGTGATACAAATGATGTATAAAGGTGTCTGCCTTTCTGTATGTCTTAATGACTATCATATTTAAAAGCTATGCAAACTTTCTCGTGTTCTAACTGTTATTTGTATTATTGGCATTGTAAAAGTTATGTACATATATATGGTTTATACATTTCTTTAAGTTGATGCAATGACCGTTTTTTTGTAAACCTTACATTTACAACATTTTCGCTACTGCCTGCATATTATCGTTTATGATATTTAGACATTTACTTGATTTTCATTCGATATTTTTAAAGATATTTTAGCCTAACTTAGATGTTGCATCACGTTGAAGTATTTAAAACGCGCTGTCAAATGCTCTGCATTTGTAGATATGATAAAAATAGAATACAACTTACATTCTGATCTTAAGACACATTTTGTAACAAGAAAGAACACAAAAACGCTTTATTTCTATTGGCAATTTGTAGAAAATAACGTTTCAACTCTTGCTCATTTTAAAATAACCCCCTTAGTAGTAAAGAAAGAAAAGTACCAACAAATGCAAATAATGTTGTCATGGCTTTGGGCAACATCAGGATCAAAATCTGCAGCTGATTGTGCATGTGCATCTATAAAACAGGTATATTGTATAAAATAATTCATAATGTGCTATTCGAAGACAATTCGTCTACCGCATATGTGTCAATATCAAATAGCTTAGTACATGCACTAACAATAGATCAATCACTGCTTGCAGCCAATGATTATAGCCGTCCCTACCTAACTACATAGTCTTTTCAATAAAAATTGGCACATAATAAAATTCTTGGCGAAAGGGATAAATATTAGTGTTTTTATTTTAATTATGTTTGTACAATATTAAAAATGTCTTGATACTACTTTTTCTTTGAAATATAAGATTTATGACATCAATGGAAAACGCGAGTAGGGTTTATACATTTACACTCTTGTTGGTTTAATTACTCATTGGTTTTATCAAATTTAGTGCCATAGATTCTAATGTATTTTGTACACTCTGTTTTATCCAAAAATGCTTAGCATAATGTATCAAAGCCAGTTATGTAGATGATTCTAACCTCAAAATCTGCAGGAAAAGTGAAAATTTGTCATTTATCCAATTATTTAACGCTTAGGGATTGCCTTTACTTTTAATAATTAAAACAAATTGCATAGGTTTATTAAGCGCTCTTGTTAATGAGTGTAAAAATTGATTTTTATGTAAAAATTAAGCTTTATTTTTGGGAGCGTAAAATGGGTCTTGGTGTATACATTAAGCGCTCTTGTTTGGGGTTAAAAAAGTTTATGTGCATACATTTCAAAAGTGATATCAGTTAAGCTGTCATTTAAAATGACATATTTATTGGTCAGTAGATTTGTAAGAATTCTATGTTTGACAAATGGATTTGTCATCCATTTATTTCGTATTTAAGTTATTGTCTTTGTTCATATCTGTATCAAGTTGTGAAAGTTTTGTACATATGTTTTCTATAATTTATTGTTTTACAAAAAAAGAACATTGTGTAAATAGCTATGACCCTTGTTCGTTCTTTTTCATTCAGTACCTTCTATTGACTAAAGAAAATATAATCACCTACAATTTTTAAACGTGTTACAAAAATACGAAAACGTTATGTAAAACTGTTTAAAATATTGAATAAAGAAGCAAAGAAGCAAACTCAACACTAAAACAATACAAATCTTGTGAACAATACATTTTCTCCCCCCGATACGAATTCTCTCCAAATACTTGGTACATTATAACTGTAAGTTTCTTTGTGTCATGAATCGTTTACCATATATCTTCGCATTTAATAGAACTTGCCCGGGTCTCTACGTCTAAAACTAAATGCACAGGCCATCAGTATAATTTCTTTACTGCCTGACCCAATTCTATAGAATTCCTTCTTGCGGAAGAAAAAGCAATATCCAAATTAACATTTTTATGAACTTTATAAACAGAAAAAGTATGTTGTTCAATAATGTTACGGCCGATTCTCGAAATTCTCGAAAGAGGTGTTTCATAGAAATGTCTCTGTTAACACACATTAAAAGTATACTTTAACACAATAAAATGATCTAGAAAAAAACTTATGCTGCTATTTGAAGTATGGTTAAAACCTGCTGGCAATGATTTCTTGCACACGCTATTGGCACTGGCTTTAAAGGAGATATAAAAAATGCTTCTTAAAGGAGTGTTATTTATCAAAATTACAACAAAATTTTTGTAAACTATAGGAGCAGTAATGTTAGATTTTTGAATTTAGAAAATTCTTAGGATAAAATAAGACATTTACCTAGTCAAATCAGGTCAAGTCTAGTATATTTTAGAGCCGTAATATTTAAAACTATACAACAATATGCAACAATATCACATGGTTAAACACGCATTTTGTTTTACAATTTCATTAACGGTAACGAGTGTTTAAAAACAGTTATACGCAATAAGAAGCCTTGCAGTTGTTTGAAGTTAAAACAAAACAATTGACTTTTTTTCAGGGCACTTAAGTGTCACCTCGTTTATTGTTTCACTAACACTCCATTGTAAATATACAGCATGTAATATAAATTGTTATCTTGAAGCTAACACAATAGAAAACTCATGTCTACAAAAATATTTCTAATGTCCACGAGTAATTGCATCTCATAAAACGATCAAGTTACTAAGCTAATTATCAGGAATTAAGACAAGAAATGACAAAAAATGAAAACAAATATGCATGCATTTCCGACAAAACAAGCCCAAAGTATTCATCATAGAAGGCATAAACCCTCTAATCATTATCTTTTTAAGACTTGTTTTGTTGCATTATCAAGTATTAATACTTGTATACGAGTCAATTCAGCAAAATACTTGTTGACAAATTTTACATTTCATGAAATATAAGAATCGCTGGGTCTTGACAAAAAAGACTATGCAAAATAATGGTTAAACAATAATTTATCAATGCACTGCATAGTGGGAAAAACGCTCAGTTGTTTACACTAAATTCATGTATCCAGATGTTTTTTTTTAAATTATGAAAAAGAAATATTCTATTACATACACACGCAGCTTTATATAGTTGTTCCACATACACGGTCAATTTATCCGATGAAAGTGACAGAATATAAGTATCTAAGAAGTTCATAAAAGAAGAAACTTCTTTTCATTGAATATTCAGACTCCATCAGACATTTATCTATCAACTCGATTCTAAAACGATTATGTTTGTAAAATCAACGCCATGATGTAACTTTTACTTATAAAAAGCGGTTTAAAGTGTATTTATTGTCACATAATAGCTGACACTTTGACCAGTCAACCAAGTAAAGGAAAGTCTTTCCTTAGAGGCACCTCGTTATGTTTTGAGCATATGAACATGTTTCGCAGTTAAACTCACAATTGCATGTTTCTGTAACCATTTCTTCTGCCATGCTATATCCCCGTCCACAGCACATCAGTTCACATCCTCCTAAACCTAGTTCGGTTTCATTGCATAGCCTACCATGAGTTCCCAATGATCCATATTTCTTCCTAGGTTCACAGAAATTTTGGGACAGCTTCGCATAAACAAGTGCCTCTTTTGCAGGCGGTTCCTTAAGCCATCTCGACACAAGTTTTCCATCGGCAGACATGCGAACACGATCTGCCTGACTGAATTGTTCAAGTAATCTAGTTCCGATATCACGAAATGATGGCATCACTTTCCAGCACGTCTTTAGTCCGCATGCGGTGGCCCAGCCATGACATTTACACCTCACCTCCATGTGTTTCGAGACGGCCTGAAATCCAGCATGTAGTATGATATTGTATAGTTTGTAAATAAGTAACTGATCATGTCTTGCAATACAGTGTGGTTTTATTCAATGACATAACTTTGTCTTATTTAAGTTTATGGAATTGTATGGCTTTAAATAAAAATACAAAAAAATATAACTAAATAAATGTAAAAAGGGAGAACACCGTGTATTGAAACCTTGACATTGAATATTTGCAAACACGTGTAAGCTACTTGTATATAATTGAGAGACTAATTCATATGAATTCTTAAATTATAATCAAGAGTTTAGAACAAACACATATATGGTGATTTTTTTTATTTTGTTGACCAGTTTTACATTTTGCCACTGAGAAAAAGATAAGTGAAGTTTGGTACAAATAGAGAAAGTAGTGAACGTCAAAAAAGGCAAAAATTCAGAATGCTGTAGCCTTGATTTGATTTAGCCTGTTTGTTTCAACACTTAAACATGGAATGGTGACATTTTTGTTTTGGAATTATCAGCAAAGGTGTTCATATGGCAGTAATTGTGGAACCCTCAATGTGATAAGTTCGTGCTATTAAATGAAAAGCAGCGTATGACCCGCTATTTAAGACTAATTGTGCCCTATACGAGAAAACAATGGGAAAAAACATATAAAAGGTGTCAAAGGTTATGAAAGTCAATCACTGATCATCCCTGAGGCATCATAGCTTGTACTTATATATCTTTACATTATATAATAATAATTTCAACAACATATCAATTTTCCATGAGGTCCTGAGCAAGGAACAATATAAATTTAAAATTTATTAATTTGGTACACATTATGACATTTCCCAGGAGTCTTTTAGATATGAGCTTTAAGAGATGTTTCGCTTTTTGTATTATCTCTCATGAACTGACACAATCAAAGCGAGTCTGCAATTTACATATCATATGGTCGTTCCACTGCTTCCTAGGGGTCACCCTTTACCCAAATGTGTATGAAGTTCAAGCAAAACATTCAAATCTAACCATTTATCTATGTTACAACAAGATTATGAAAGGAAAAACGTTTTTCCCCATTTAACTTATACACGTGGACTTGTTGTAATTGCTTTTTTTTATTTTTGGATCTGAAGCAACAGCATTGAGGGGTATCCATCTTAACCAATCGGCACCAAATCGGTCCCTGTTGTACTATTCTATTTCATAAATTACAGTTCACTTCACACGTACAACGGGGTCGTATCTGTCTTATTTGAATTGTCAACCAATTACAACTTAATACAAAAAAAATAGATCAATTGATGACATATAATCGCCTGCAAGCAGCGATTCACATATCCGAAGATGATGAGACAAAACACAATACAAATTATTTGTGCCACAACTCTTCTCCGTATTTCCCTACCTATTTAAATGTATTTTCTTGACCAATATGCATGTCTTAAAGGATATGGATTGTATTTCAAAATATACAGCAAGTTTTAAATGTGTTCACGTGTTGATCCTGTCACTGGGTATTGGAAAAGACAAACATTGGGGTTATGATCAATGTCTTATGATGATATTTTCTTCTTCTTAAACTTCTTAACAATTTAACAGATTAGAAATCATATAGAAAAAAATGTCCAATAAGTTAAATAATTCGTTCAAATATTAAGTTAATAATTCATTCAAATATTAAGTTAAAATCAACACAATGAATGTTCAATCATACAAACCGACGCAATCTTAATTTAGAAAATAATGCAAAATATCATATCTAAGTTAGTTTTATCGGTCAATTATCAATTTATTTTTGAAAGATATTCATGTTAGTTTTCATAAGATTTATAACAAACCTACCAGTCTTCCAGCTTCTTGGTTATGAAGTCGTATTTTCGTGTTTAGATCGTCACCGCCTACTTCGTCTATAAACTCTTTCGATTTCTCATATCCATAATTAACACCATCGTCACAGCCTATCCACAAAGCTCCCTTTGGGCCATCACTTTGATGTTTGTCAGGTTTACATCCGCATTTCAATCTTTCCTCGGCACAAGCCTTGCCAATTGTAAACAAAGCACCTGCCGCAGTGATTGCGTGTACAAAGGCAGATTCTCTTGTTTCTAAAATGGATACATTGAAAGATGGTTGTACATATGATAATGTTTTTTTTCTCTCAAACGAAATGTATGCTTGGATTTGATATCTTGGCATATTTTCTAGACTTGAACTTTATTTCATCATGCAATTCATATATTTTGCACCATATGAATTTAAATACAAAATGATATACTTGATCTTCTGCCCACATTAGATTATATATTATAACATTTCTTTTTAATATAAGCATCTGAAGGTTGAAACCGGTATCCATTTATAAGACTTCCTTGCAGGTAAGACCAATTTGGCTATGAGCCATTGGTGGTCTTATTACAGAAGTTTATTGTATAAAGTTTTGTCAGTTTCATTTTGAAAATAAAAATTGAGTTGCTATCATATAACAAATTTAATTTATTCCTTAATTTCCTAAACTTTGTTTAATTATGTATTTACGTATAACGATATTTCTACCAATAGATTAAGTTGTTTGATGAATAATGTTATTACATTAAAATTAACTTGCAAAACATGACTTTGTTTTATCATTGTTGTATTGGTACTGTATTACTATTGCTGTAATTTGATGTTACGTTATACACTGTTTACACCATTACAGAATAAATCAGGATAATGCTATATAACGAATGTCATTATATTGAAATGAGGATATGAAATTATATGCTGATGTTTATAAAATTTTGGAATGTATTTATATGGTTTATAAAGTAAATCACTAAGCAGGATAGTAATAAAGCCATGCATGAAACCAATTTTACACAAGTGTTATAACTGTGCATAGGTTATTATGGTATCAGCAAATTATTCCTTTTATCACCATCAAATCATCTTTCAAATTCCAAAATTCTCAAAATGAATATGTTAGATCTCTGAATATTAGTTTTTTTCTTGATGCACCTCAAATTCTGCACCTACTGTCTGCTACCCCATAGAAGTAAACTAAAGGGTTTTTCATTCAACTGTACTTCAAAAGAAACTTGACCGCTATATTTCTTGTAAGAATAAATAAACTGAGCTACAATTCAAGCAAAATAAACGAAATTTATTCCACTCTTACAGGAGACTTGAGAAATCAATGTCTGCAATTAAGTTTTGAAACAAAATTTTAATTTCAGCTATAATGTTTTTATCTGTCAAATTCTAATTTGTACTAGAAGCTATAACTGTAATAGTGCCACATCCCTTTTGTTTGAAGGCAGACGTTTTTACTAGTTTTGTGACATTATCGGCCAATGAGATTGCCTCATTAAAAAATGGAACATTTTAATTAATTCTTCATTTATTTTTTTCATTTCATTTTCATAACTTTATATACATGTATATAATTATCATCATTTGAGAAATTACTGCCTGTTCTATTCTTGTGTATTAAGATTGAATATTTCTGACATGTTTTTGAAATATACAGTTATTTTATGTATGTTACGCAATTTTCTATATTTAGTTTGTATTCATGTTCTTCTAATATACGTAAATGTTTAGTTGCCAATTCCGTGTACTATTTTTTCTAAGCAGGCACATCGTTTTTTGATCATTATACTGTAGAGTAATTTAAATATAGTCTAACTACCACCGACTTAGACCGCAGTGAACGAAACAAACGGTTCTTCTAATAAATATTCCATGACTGATACGTTAAGATGTGTATCAGTACAATCACAGGTTATATATCAGTGTGTTTTGTCAAATAATCATTGTAATGATGAAGAAAATGATTGGATCATATATGAGGATGACTAATTTTCAAGTGCTACATTTCTTCAACCTTTTAACGACAATATATATCAAACTAAAATACTCTCTTTTAATTATTCTATTTTTTAACCAAATGTATCAAACTTCATAACAAGATAATTCATATATCCTTAACTACATAAAAAGAGCCCAGTTACGGAGAAATTATGATTGAGCGAAAAAAAAATATTTTGCTTTACAAAAATACCAAGTTAGACCCAAAAGTACAAAGAAACATCATTTAAATTGCAGTAACGTGTTAACTCCTATTGAATTATTGATGGAATAAACTAAGGTGACATCAAAAGATAAACAACATAGTAAAGAATAAATAAGAATCTTACTTCCCTTACAAAGAGCCAATATTTCCGATACTTAATAACTAAATGCAGAAAATATTCAACATTAAAGTGGACAGGAGTACAATCGATCACATTTTCGAATTGTATTTCAAATATTGATATAACTTAAATAGAATAGTATCATTTTGATTTTTTTTATAAATTGTTGCCCCCCCCCCCCCCCAAAAAAAAAAGATGTTGACAACGTTCTAAGTGGTTTAGTATGAAAATATATATGATGATTTTTTTCTAAAACATTTTATCTGCTTTATAAATATATGTAATAAAGGATCATATGTTTCATTTATAATTATTTCGCGGTTTGTTATCATGTCTAATATTAGATATTATGCAACATTATTATTCACTGTATTTCAAACCTTCCATTTTAGACCAATTCACTTTAACCTGATTAATTCGGAAATAGGTAGGTCGGTAGGTATGTGTGTGTGCGTGCGTGCGAATGTAGTCTATGTTTGATTTGTCCATCCGCCCGTTCAGGCACAAAAAGCAGTTTTCGCTGTCGAGTACGGACCCCGGACATGTCACCAGTCATGCCATTAAAGAGTTAATTTTGTAGCACAAAGTGGTTATAATTTACCTCCATACAATTTTCCCAGAGTACTAGTATTAGTCAAAGATATGAATTTTGAGCCAAAAGAAGGTCATTGTATGGCGGTCAATGAGAACCTAAATGTAAAGTAACCTGGGACAATAATGAAAGCCCTTAAACGGGCTGTTGGTGCCAAGCAAAGGGCCTGCCTCACAAGCCGTCATGAACTCAGTCATTCGTACATTCGTAATTGGCAATCGTAATCTGACACAGTTCTGTTATATACTGTTGGTAGCTTGATATTCAAACCCCTTCATTAAATTTAAAGATGGGTAAATCCGACACATAAATTCATCAAGTTATGGGTTAAATTTAAAAAATATGAACATTATTATCACAACAAAAACTTAAATGGCATCATTGGAATCATGCATAATAATCATGCAAATAGCATGCTGCATGGAAATGAAAAACTCACTTTCCATGTACATATAGCTAATATTGGTAATTGACCATTGACACAGGAATAGCCGTGTGCATATTCAATGTATAGTTATTTCTACAATTAAAAAGGCTGTATCTAAATTTAAGTATGCGTTTCTGTAAACGCATTTTTTTCGTGTTCTTATTTATGATTCAATTCAGAGTTCGAAGTAATGTACTGTCCTAGGATGATAACTTGAGCCTTTGTTTACATAACAAAGACCAATAACAATGCGAAAAATAGGTTAGGCAGATCAATGACACAACCTATAAAAATGAAAATAAAAGTACATGTCATCATATGTCTTGTTAGCGCAGTAGGTAGAGAAACCGTGTCAGTAATGTGTTTTACCCGTACAGGCAGAAGTTCGACTACTGGTACGACACATTGTTTTTTACCTCAGAACAGTTAATAGTTCAGAAAACAAGTTTGACCGGATTTTTCATATACATACATGAATATGATATCGAATATTTTAGTACACTGCGATCAAAAAATACAAAAAGAAAATAGAATGGAAATAAAAAAATATATACTATAAAATATATATTATAAGAAGAAAACAAAAAGGAAATCGAAATATAAATAAAGAATAATGATAAAAAAACAGAGTAAGAAGAAAAAGTGTGGTTATAAAATGACACGAAGTGGGGTTCGAACCTATGGGTACAAAACACTAATAGTTACAATTACTCCGACCTACCGAGAGAGCCATAACGGTAATACACAAACGATTTTGTAAGAATAATGCTATATAGTATATGTAAGTGTTTACTTTTACGATATCGGATAAAAATCCAGATAACCCCGTTTTTCGACTTTCCCATGTACCGTTAAGACCAAATTATCATCTTAGGACAGTACTTTGGTTTCTGTTGTGAATAACGATTGTAAACAGCACCAGAGCGGATAACAAAAACATATAGATAAAAACAAACATTAAAAATTACTATAACTTTATTTTAGTACATTGTTATACAATGACAAATTTGTTGATTTTCTATACAGATATAAGGTTTGTTGTTCTAGATCTAAATCGAAAAAAAGAAATTAAGCGTCATTCATAAAATGTACACTACTTTTTTACTTACAGCAACATTGTAAATTCATCAATTTTTATCCAATGAAACATCACAATACTTTCGTGGTGCTTTATTTGCTTAAATTTATAAATAAAACTTTCAGTTATGACAAACAATAGGTGTTGCAAGTATTGAATTATTTCTTTGATATTATTTAAAGTCGACATGAAGGCATATAAGTGTGTCTTAAGTAATAAATTACTCAATCTTTTATAAAAGCTCTGACGTCAATATTTTCCAAAAAGTATTTTCTCCTGCACAAACACAAGAACATTTACTATGAACATTCACATGAATAACCGTGAGAACAAATAATTCCTTTTTAGAATCTTGTCGGACGTTTGTTTGAAAATTTGACTCCACTGAGTTTGTTATTTTTTATAGGAAGGGATCGACCATTTTATGTAGGTTTTGAATAATAACTTGGGAGCAAAATTCCATATCATTTTCTCAGAATCATTATTTCTATTGTCCAAAATAACCAACACATTTTTTTTCAAAGGGTATGCAATCAACAAAAAATTCATTTTCAAGTTAATTATCATGATTATAAATCTTTATAATCTTTTGCATATTTTGCATACCCATTGTAGGAACAACAACAAATCTAATCAAGAAATTAAAATCTTTCGAGTTTTTAGGATTTTCGATCTCAGCGGAGTTCGTTTAAAGCGGTTTACATTAAATGTACAAAGGTCAAATCATGAAACAAAAGGGAAAAAAAAGCCTACTTGTGCAATACATAAGAAAAGATATATACATCATTACATCTGTTAAACAGGTCAATAATCCATTAATGTGTAGATTCATATGTACAAATCAAATTACTACACATACTGAGATTTATAATCTTAAACACAAATGCATACAAGTTTCAACACTTGAACATCAAATTTCTGACAATTCATTCTGTTCGTCTAAGTAGTGGATCTTTTCCATCGTTCCAAGTCTTCTGAATATGTACCGCCCCTAGATACAAGAAATCAGAAAAGCAAAAACAAAATGAACGAGGAAAAGATTAACAAACGCCGGTTTAACTCTGAAAAAATCGGCATGCTATCTCAAAGTCTATCTGCTCACTGTATACGAATTTACATAGAAGTCTAGTTCAAAGCATGTATGTTTATCGTTAAGAAAGCACAAAGAGCGAATTTCTAGCCGTCTCTCTCTCTCTGCTCCCCCTTCTAAAGTATATGTTCAGCATATTGCTTTTTATACAATTTACAGAATATGAACACTTAGAGTTTGATCATCTTGTATCCAATATGACACTTAAGAACAAACACATTTCCCTTTCGGGAATGTAATTTTCATGTTTTCAAAGGCACTTTGAAACAGTCTGTATAGACTTACACGTTTTACACATAACCTGACAACACCAAATAAACTGACATTTACAGTTTTCATTCACTGTTAGTTGTGTACTCTTGTAGCCACGGTTGCAACACATCAAACTACACCCATCAATCCCCATAGAATTTGGATTACATAATCTACCATGGGTTCCTAACGACCCATATTTCTTTCTCGGTTTACAGAAATTAGGAGATTGTTCTGTATACAAGAGGTCCTCATTTGATGGCGGTTTAATAGTGTCATCCTCAGTCACAAGGCTTCTGCCATCATTAGAAATAGTCACTTTAGACGCACCATCAAACTTGTCTTTCAATCTTAGACCAACGTCTCTGAATGAAGGCATGCGTCTCCAGCACGTTTTTAAGGCACATGTTCCCGATAAACCATGGCACTTACAATCTTTTGTCATATGCTCCCGTACCGCCTAGAAAAAGAAAACAAGAAAAGTCAAAGGGAAGCAACAGAGCAGAAGTATTTGCAGATTCTTTAAGAATGAACACATTTAGACAAGAACCTACGAACATTTACATTCTCATGTAATTGCTAGATATTCTATAGATTAATAGAACGTCTGAAAATGTTGTTTAATGTGTATGGTTTTGACATAAGATAAGTATTTACAGAGAAGGTATTACGGGCAGCAAATAGTCTTATGAGCAAATTCAGATATTGTTGCGATGATTATTTGTTTCGTTTGTATTATTTGTTTCCATTAAACCACAGGACTGAGGTGAAATCTAAATCTTCATTAAAATTCAAATTCTGGCATACAGAATACAGGTCGCACTTTGTATACCTTTTTAACGGCGGTCATTCTTTATTTTTAAACTAGACTTAATTTTAGACTTACCAGACGCCCAGCCTCATTATTATGCTGTCTGATTTTAGAGGTCAAATCCCCTTGTTTCTTTTTCCTCCTTGCGTCCATAAATTCCTTTGATTTCTGGTACCCAAAATTCACATCGTCATGGCAACCACCCCATTCCCATTCGCCGTCAGAGGCAATGTCTCTAAGATTGTTATCACACGTGCATTGAACCAGGCCCCCTCTACTGCAAGCCTTTGTGACTGTAAACACCACGCCCGCGGCAGTTATTGCATATACAAATGCGGTTTCCCTGGTATCTGAAATTAGATACACGACTTCTTGTATATCATTAACAAGATCACCTCTCTCTCTCCTACGGATGTCTACTGAAATTACTAAAATCTGAAATCTATTGCCGGTTATATTGGTTGGTAAATTGTTCTACACCTGAAACAAAATGCACCATTGCAACGTTACACAAAACCTGCATTGAAATTTATTCGTTATAGTAACATTTCCATTATCACATAAAATCAAAATCAACCGTTAAGAAATAATGCAAACTTGTTAGTGTAAGGAATACTGTTGATATTTTTAAGCAAAGATGCAGATCGAATTTCTGTATTAGATAAGTGAAAGTCCAGTAACAACTAAAGCCTACATTATACGTAAAGTTAACTAAGAAGAAGAAGAAGAAGAAAATGCATTAAATTTGCATTTCTTTCTAAAGTGTGTATGAGAGAGAGTTAAGAGCTTAACTTGGGGGTTGTACTGTTCTTTCAAATAAGTATTTTAGCATGTTTTTATCCAGAAATATATGCTACAAAGATAGTCAAAAATAGCTCTTTATTTATAAAGTAGAATGCCTCCAGAATCATGCTAATTTTTTATGAAATTTTAAACTAATGTGAAGAGAATTAAGAAAGTAATTTCCACATTGTAAATGGCATTCTCAATCCGCGAAAATAACACAATGGAGTGGATATGGAAAAATAGTTGTTACTGCGTTAATAACGTAGTAGAGATATAATGATAGATACTTCAAAATCTGCTAATAATCGCACATAACATGTAAAACATTACTTGAATCTTGAATCGTTTTACTTTTCTTCAAAATCTTAAAAACACCTTTCTCAAGATTGATTTTCGTAAAATATTTTGGCTCATCTATAGGCATGCAGCTTTAAGATATGCTTATATATGTTGTAACTCAGTTAGCCTAATATAAAACATTATGTTCACGATAAAATATGAATAAAGTATGAGCTGTTAGCATAACATTTGAAATATATATCTTGGGAAGAATGATGGTTTATAATGATTTTAAGAATGGACAGTCAGAGATAATTGACAAAAGTTTGGAAAAAGAAGATCGCACGAAGTCGAAGAAAATACGAGATTTAAAAGGCACATTATGCCTCAGATACAAATAACTTTTTACTTCTTTAGAAAGGACAAATATGAATTGTATAATGTTTAAATAATGGTTTGAGAGAATGTTAGATGCTTGTTACCTGAAGAAAGAAGCGATAAATATGATATAATTTATCATAATAGTAGCAAAATGTAAACAAAGTACATGTGCTATTTTGACTTTTGGCCAAATACAGATTCACTATAATTGTACATATTGCTAAAAAGCAGTCGATAAAAAAGCATGTTCAGGTAATTGGCCAATGAAAAACATTTTAGATATTGTAAAAGTACATCACAATTAAAAAGGTTTTAAAAAAATTAAACATTTCTGAGATATTAATAGCCCTTAAGTTGATTTAATATGCTTATGAGAGAGATTAACGAAAAAATAAATATCATGATGTTAAGAACTACCAATAAAGATTGTTTGTTTAAATGTGTGGTAAGATATACGTAAATGTCTAAAACAAGGCGAAAATGCGGATACAAACATACATAAAATCATATTTAGCTTCATTTTAATATATCTCGTTCAATTTACGACGTGTGATTAAATCTGATAAAATGTATATATAATCCTCTATGAACGATGCAAGCAAAACAAACATATATTGATGACTCGTTGAAGCAGAATTCATATGACTTATACGCGAACATGTTACACAGACAATGCCCCCTAGCACCTGCTTAAGCAGTATTTAAAATTCAGACTTAGAAAATCAGCAGATTGTTATCAACAGCCACAGAACATACAATATAACTATCATGCACACATACAGGTACATGCAAACACAAAACGTTTATCTTTCTCTACAAAACTCAAAGTAAGATTCATTATAATTGGCACAAAATTTCAAAATATCAAAAGAAATTTCAAATCAAATGAATAGACGTTGAGTGGCAATTACTATATTTTAATCTCACAAATCACTGCACTTGTATCTCTGCTTACAAATTTCAAATGCCATTCAATATTGTTAAAATCATGTTTTGCTACATATTTAGTTTCTTTGACTTTGTTGTCAATGCTGCACTAAAGTATTGTTGCCATGCTTAAAGATTCCATTGAGCATCGGGACAGTTGCAGTTGTATCGATGCTCTTACATTTTAATACCTATCGTTTCATTCCACACAGATTTTATGTACATTTATATTTAAAGTTTATAAAGCCGTATATCTGTTGTTTATAGTTTACATTTTTTATGTTGAAATTTTGAAAAATAATCTGAAAGAAATATCTTTGTATATTTTCTTAGAAGCGAAAGTCTTTGCTAAATAGTTACAAATTCCTACTAATAAAAATAGCAGCATACTATTTTGTTCCTTATGTTTTTTATTTGTTTGTTAGTTTGTTTGTTTGTTTGTTAGTTTGTTTGTTTGTTTGTTTGTTTGTTTGTTTGTTTGTTTGTTTGTTTGTTTGTTTGTTTGCTTATTTGTATTAATGTTTATTATTTTTTTATTTATTATTTTGTTGTTGTTGTAATGTCAAATAACAGTGGAATTTATATTACAATTTTTTTTAAGAATTCACCTTAAGTTTATGGAAAAAAACATTATTTTTATTAAATATAACTTTATATCCTTGAAAAATCAATTCATTCTATTTTTTAACTTTGATGTTTATAACTTTAAAACTTCAACTATTTAGTACTGATTTATTTTCCACCAAACGCATAATCTTTATTTATACATTGAATATAGGATTAGCTGTTAAAATAAGTTTAATTGTTCTCGGAATATCAGGACGTATTCAGAAAGATACAACATTTATAGTTTAAATAAACCAATTTTGCTTTTTCTGTAACGATACTTTAATTCCGCTTACTTATAATTCTTTCTTATAATTCTTTCTTATAATTCTCACATATAACAAGTTCCAGTATGAACTTAGGGGTGTTCCTTTACAGACAATTCTTATAACAAATATAGAAAGCTTCTAGACCGTTATTAGCATGTCAATTATTGCAACCGTTAAAGTACATAATTATGTATTAGATAGCCTATGTAACAAGGTGAAATTGACTGATTGTTTTATCTTGTAAGAATAGCCAAATTGAATTACACAAGAATCTAAAATGAAATAAACCAGAAGCAATGTTTAACTATTTTGCCTACCTGTCTGAGTTGTTAATAACCACTTACTACAGGAAAAGTTATTTACGGACCGAGTTCTTGGACTCGATAGTCCACGAATGTAATTTCAAAGCTAAAGCATTCATTTGCCGGCAATATCTAATTTTAAACTAAATAAACCATTAACATACAATCTACTCATTTTTACATCATACCAACTCGGTACATAAAGTTAAAGCTTAAACCCTTGAGGTAATTCAGGTTTACCGTGAAAAAAGCAATTTTCCACCCTAAGCAATATTCATGAAAAATCTTTTTATTATAGATATAAGGCCGTCTCGGTACAAGCAACATCTACTTTTCTTATAAAATGTAGATACATGTAAATGCATGGTGAACTTTGGATAAAATACTCGAGTAAGACAATCAGTCCTGGAGTACACACTTCAGATGAATGGCCCATAACCCTAAATTCAATTTACCGAGAAACATTTTTGTAAGTTTATATCGTTAAAACACTCTATGCGCAGCAGAATGTTCTCCTATTCCTTTAAATACGCGCAGCGGCATCTCTTTGATGTAAAAACGGTTATTCAAATTTAAGCACCGAAGTTCTTTGAAGTGCCTATTAGTTCTAGTAGTTATGTAATAAACAACAAGATTTCCTAGATGAAACCCAGAAAAAACAGTTTTTCAAAGCCTTTGAAGTCTGTAAAATAACTCTATATCTTATCTTTTTTAGATAGTCCATAGCTTGTGATGTTTTAATACTTAAGTCCTTAAATATTTCGTTTGCATTTTTTTTCACAAAGTAATAAATTTTGATGTTGCACGCGTAAAGCTAAAAGTATTTGTTTAAGAGTCAGACATTTTCTCAGTGTTATTAAAGTTGCGTGGCTTTGTTTCATACAAAATTATTTTGTCAAATGAATCGGATACCGTAATTTGAATTATTCTTACACATTAAGTTCTGGAGTTTATAGAATAAAGGTAAGCGATTTAGATATAAGTCAAATGTGTATAAAATATTATATTCTTCAAGCACCTTTTTATCTACATGTATTGATAATTCATTCATGATTTTAGTCCATACAAAACTATTCTTTTTTTAAAATAAAAAAATCGTATATAAATTAGATAACTTTTTATAGTGAATTTGGTGAAAAACATTAAGTTACATAAATAATACCTTATAAACATTCAAAGTAAAAGTTGACACAGTTGTTTTTTTAAATCACTTATTTTATTTAATTCATCCGTCTACTAATACTTAAATTTTGTTAGTTAAAAGTTTCAAAAACCATCATCGAATATTAATTAATTCAACATTGAAACTTCTAAGTGTAATGTTAACAAACTAAAATAGAAGGAGCATCCTCATAATCACTGTAAGAAGTGCTTCCCTTGCTTGCTTTAACAAGAAGTCATCTGCAACAATATAACATCGTTAAAGTTCACCTAGGCAATCTCAATACAGCCATGTAATGTACTGGAAATAGCAATTTACCACCAACACCATAATTTTCTATGACGTCACACATGGTGTACGTGCTTTTAATATTAGCTTTTATTCGGCAATATTATAAGTTCCGTTCTTCAGCAAGGATGAGCGTTTTAGAATATGATTTGTTGATGAAATTATAGCAAATATATGTTAATTAACGACCTATATAACAAAGCATATGAAACAATAAATCATTACATTATTGAATGTTATGATTTCATCACTGAATAATATAATATCATCATGAATCTTATAATATCATCACTGAATTTTATATTGTCATCATTTAATTTCATAATTTCATATTTTTTTTAATATCATCATAGAATCTTATAAAATCAGCATTGGTTCTTATAATATCGTCACTGATTTTTCTAATATCTTACAATCTTTAATATCTTAATATCTTTCTGAATCTTACAATATCAACATTAAATCTTATAATATCAACATTGAATGTTATAATATCATCATGAATCTTATAATATCATCATTGAATGTTACAATATCATCATGAATCTTATAATATCAGCATTGAATCTTACAATATCATCATTAAATCTTATAATATCATCATTGAATTATATTATATCATCATTTAATTTCATAATTTCAACATTAAATATTATTATATCAGTTTGAATCTTATAATATCATCATTGAATGTTATAATATCATCATTGAATCTTATAGTATCACCATTGAATCTTATAACATCATCATTGAATCTTATAATATCATTATTGAAACTTACAAAATCATCATTGAGTCTAATAATATCAGCATTGAATCTTACAATATCATCATTAAATCTTATAATATCATCATTGAATTATATTATATCATCATTTAATTTCAAAATTTCAACATTAAATCTTATTATATCAGTTTGAATCTATCATCACCGAATATTATAATATCATCACAAAATATTATACATGTAATATTATTCAATACTTTCAAAAGAATAGAATTGCGTGGAAATATGAAGCAACGAATCTCTGTCTTAATTCATAATTTTGTTGTTTTAATAATTTTAATGGGATTGATAGGGATATTTTTGAATTAAATATATCCTGGGGGAAATATAAGCCTTATTTGGCGCATCATTAAGTAATACGAAATAAATCTAGGATGAAATTATTATTTGTTGAAAATAAAACTACCATTAATAGATAAAAAAAATAAACCAATTAAAATAAAGGTTTTACTAAATCTGTAAAGAGCCTCATATGAGTGGCACCCATCTTTGTTTTAAGGTACATTGTACCAGGAATGACTTTCTAATAATCAATCAGATATTTAAATGGTTCATTACTGCTAATGGGTAAAAAAATACATTCAATATTAATTAGTTTACTTACAGTAAAAGAGTAAAAAGTTAATAAAAAATCCACTGTAATCAATAATGTCATGATGGTTCCAAACCTTAACAGAAGTAGTATATATAAAAAGGTAAAGGTAAAGGTCTTGTTTATTATAGTGTCACCCCTACTGAAAGGGCCAGCCATTTTGACTTATGAGACACCTTTTGGTTGCATACCATGTACCTCCCAATTCCTACCACTATGCCAGGCGCCAGGCGGATAGAAATCGGTAACCATTCATTTTAACTACCTCGCGGCTCACGAAGCGGCCATTTCGGAACGAGTCCCACGAGAAACATATATATGTAAGAAGTATTTGTGTTCACAAAATATTAAAAAATCTAACATCCAGCTAAAGATGTCATATTTTTCTATAAAATTCTATTTGAAAAACTCTTTCATGCATCATAATTTACTCATTAAAGCCTTATTTGTAATTGTTTGAAATTCCTGGTATAAAGTACTGTAAGGATACATGTCTACGTCACAACAAAATTTAGAAAAGTATAGACAGAGTCGATTTCAAATTGATGTTTGTTATGAAAGCATTTTGAAAACATGCCGGAATTTTTAAGATGTATATTGTTTTACAAATGATCTCCACTAATGTCATAGCCTAATATTAAAAAGAAGCCAGACTTAATAAACTGTATCATTAAAACATATATGTATACAAGATAATATGCATTGGATAATATTCATGAATTACTTGTCATAATTTAAAGTGAAATTGCCTTTTACTACTGACTCCAATGTCCAACATTTTTACAAGAAATATTTTAACTAACAAATGGAATTAACAGGAGAAATCCCCGTATAATAAAAAAAATAAAAGAAACAAAAACGTACCTTTGTGCAAGGTAAAGGAGAATACCAAAATAGCAAGCTATTTATTATTAGGGTAATTAACAAGTTTGGAATATATTAATTTAAACAGCTAATCTAGTAGGTTATAGGACCGCTATCGTCTGCGCCAGAGAAATCTGTAACGCTTAATTAGCGATGTTTAATGCTGTGTTTTTATTAAGAGCGAGACTTCCATGCCAGATTTCATAGGGATTTGGCATACATTTTGGTGGAAAAAGCATCGCTGTTCCTGGTCACAGTTCCAATGTTTTGACCTCACGCGTGTGTCGAGATTTGGATAGATTTTACAAAAGATAGATATAATTAACTTATCGCTTTGTCTGATAATGAGGGTATGAATCACTCACGTGAGATACGGTTTCGAAATTGTCTTAATTCAGATTTATGACGGCTTTTATTTTTTGCGATTCTTTCTTACTTTTTTGTATTTGTTTTGTTCTCTGTCATGTAGTGCAGAAACTTTATTCTAAGTTTGACCTTCATCACCAGTCATCATTTACATTGCTCTCCTAATGTTAAAACATATCATCATTGATTAGGAAATACTCGTACAAAGTAACGTTCAGTCTTGGTCATCCCTTTACAAATCTTTTAGAAACCTATAATAACGAATTCACATATTTCATAACCTTTACTTACAAAAATTATCCTAATTTAAATTTGTTCTCGCCCTATAAAAAACTATTGATTAGCAAAGAACACCGAATGATCGCTTAAATGATATACATCATTCACTTTTTACTTAGCAAAGTTGCTTTTTCAAAACGTACCTATCATGCTTTTTTTCTATACTCTACTCATCTATTAATATATATGTTTTGCAGAAATTTATTGAAATCTAGGAAATTCTTACTATAAAGTATGTCCAATTTGAATAGAAGAATGCACAGACTAGTGTTTGGGAAGCTGCATTCCGTATTTTTGGTCACGTCAATTTGGTCCTGTCTTTAAAAGACTGCCATTTTTAAGGCCATTATGTACTCTAGTGTTTACCTATAGTGAGTAGAGTTTAAAACATAATATGTCTTCAATGCATTGACTCCGAATATGTTTATTTTACATTTAAAATGAAACTGTTTGGCAATTAGCAATGTTTTCAAATATCAAGTTTGAGCATAATATATCTTTAAAGTTTTGTTAATCTTAGAGTTTGGTTTCACATATTCATCTTTTAAAAAAAGATAATAATAAAGATTTAACTAAACGTACCAGTGTAGTCTGTTCCTTTATCTTGTTATCTTATATTATAAAATTCCAGCATTACTTGTTAACATTAAAAAAAATCATTGAAAAAAAAATCTAGCATCAAATAAAAGATAACACCTTCATATGATTTTATCAAACTGTATAAACTTTAAGGAGCGGTAATCATTTTAATATTAATGTTGAAGATTTTTCAGACCAATTATCAAATGACCTACTTATTGTGCAGACAGATTAACTGAACAAGATAACAAAGTTGAAGTCTATAAGCCCTGAACTAGCAGCCATGTTCAAAACTAAACTCCTCCTGTGAAATTTAATTAGAAGGTGTTTGCCAAAATAGATGTGCTAGGAATTTGCAAATGCACGGGGAAAAGTATATTCAGTTCTCTTTATTGACTGCATCGCCATCGGAAAAGAAATAAAATATAGTTATAGCATCATATTTGATTGAATTTCAAGTATATTACCACTTGTGAATCTTTCATTGCCCGCAGCGAAATTCAATGTTCCGCTCAAGAAAAAAAGTTGGCATTTCGGTTAACAACAGCTTGACATCGATTCTTGCCAACATCTTTGAAATCATGTTTTACATATTATGCTATATTTCGACACTGTCACTGCAAAAGACATAAAGGTTTTACCACCTGCTGATATTGTACCAGTTTTGGGATAGTCTAGACGATTGGTATTGTTTTGATTGAATATGAAAAGTACCTTTCAAAATTACAAAAAAATACAATGCTGAAGTTTTCAAATATTTGCAAAAGTGTATAAAAATGGCGAGGCAGTCATTTCCATCATTTACATCAAAGCAAACGTTTCCTTTTATACAAATCATTTTTTGATATGAGTGAAAACTATTGTAGATGTTAAAAATAAAATGTCAATCTAAAACAGTTGAAAAGTCTTTGATGTACTAGTATATTCATTGAATATGAAAGTATCTTTTACAGTCTTACTAAGACTGTAATCCCTTGCTCAATTTATCAATCTTTGGATTAGGCTTGAACCGTCTGTCCCTTGATTCGTTGCTCAAATCTTGTTAACATTAGTTGCATTAAAATTTTATATGTCTCTTCAGATAAACCATTTCTAGAGATTGTGATATTGGAATTAATATAGATCTAGTTCTAGAAATTTGTTTAAAAAAATCTGAAATCTGATTAGATTTTTTTGTCGAGAGACCCTTCAGACTTAAATCAGTAGAGTCATAATGAAAGAATCGTATACATTTTATATTTTCTGTAGAAAAAGAAAAAAAAACTTATGCCTAAGTTCTGAATAAAATCTTTGAATTTTAAATTTACTTTAAGTGCTTTGCTAACCGCATTTTTGTTTTGTATTCATTTTTCGTTTTATTATACTAAAACAATTTTTGAATCAAAAGGGATATTTGCTATATTTGTTAAACTCGAAATTGTAAAATGTAAATATATAAATGTAATTGTAAGTGAAAAGCATATTCTTTGATGTTATCATATTTTTATTACCTCTTCTAAGAATTCTGGAGAAAGACTTTCTGGCTGTTGTGCAGTTCCATCTTCTATACTGGAACTGATACTGACATTCTGCAATAGCTAACTTGGCACCATTTACGACCTCGTCAACAATCTCTTTCTCCCGGCGACAGATTTGCCTGCAATTGTGATTAAATATGCTTTTTACTTGAACAAAAAATGTACGACTTACTAGTTAATAAAATCGCCGTTGACCGACAACAAAACTGTGATACAATTCAGCTCCTAGGTAGAAATAGCAACAGTTCAACAGTACAGTGATTAGTCAAACTGTTCAAACGTTTTCATCAATATTAAATAGTAAATATTATCAGGTTTATCACAGAATATGAAACTTGACTTGGAAAGTTCTAAGAAACTCATTTTTCTGTCGTTTTGATCAAATATTTAATAAAATTTGCAAACACACTTTCAGTCTAATGGTTTAATTATCAAAAATGCTATTTACAAAATCTATATATTTATAAGATATATCTTTTACGTATTATAAATACATATATATGTGTATATATAACATATCATCATTTTAAATGAACTAAATCTAATCGTCATAATGGCATCCGAATGAAACAATGACACTTATTGTTCATGAATTACATAATAGCATGGGACCAACGATAGGAAGGCAGCTCAAATATTCAATTTGAGTTTGAATATTTATGCTGCCTACCTATACTTGGTCCCATCCGATTATTTAATATAACATTATAAAGTTTTGCAATAAACATACCTTTGTTTCCCAGATAGCTTCCTATTCTTACGACATATCTTATTGGGCTCCATGACAAGCGGGCTTCCGACTGCCCTGAAGATATAAATGAAGAGAATAACTTGATAAATGATTATCAAAACACTATCTGACATGATTTTTTATAACTAAATAAACGCTACATACAAAAAGCTCGTAACTGCCCTGAAGAAAATATAAAAAGAATAGTAAGGTAAATATAATAAGTTAGATAATATAATATACATGTGATTATGAGATTAATGTATCACGTATAGTTTTAAATTAATACACAGTATTGGGCTTCTATCTGTCACAAATATAAGAATATAAAATATCAGAAGGACACGAAACTATAAAAGAAAACACAGTATATATAAAAATGATATGCAACCCTCTTAAAACAATCGTAAACATATTAGAGCCATGTTAATGATCCCAAATTCTAGAAAAATTGGCTAACTATTGCTAAGAATGTCTAAAATTAGAGACGGCGTCATTTTGTCTTAAAGTTTAAAATTAAGTTGGTCAGATGATGTATCTTAAACGCATGGATGTAGAAATATCATGATGTTTCCATGGAAACAACAATTCTTCTAATTTGTTTCAATAGTATATAAAGTACGATAGATATTCCAATTAAAAATTTATGTATATAAAATATACTTTCAAGTACAGGTTATACCATATAAAATCACTATAACTACAATAATATTAATATGATTATTCAACTGAAAAATGCATCATCTTATTTGTTATTTTTCAAGGCAATGAAAGTATTAATTTATATTATCATTATTATCATATAACATTTAAACAGAGAGGATAAAAACAATACACAATTTTAAATTCAACACAACATTACAGGAAATAAACAAAACGGTAGTACAAATAATAATAATGATGTTAAAAAGAATAAGATAAAATTAAAAATCATGACAATGATGATGTTGATACTAATACTAATGATAATGATGATGACTTTTTATAGCATATATTTATGTGACTATAACGATGTTAGGGTCTTAAAGATTTACTTTATATTTGACTTAAATAAAATCAATAAAAATTACTAAAAAAATCTGCAAGCGCGTTTGATGTAATTACATATGAGTGTTTCTAATACACATATTTTATTCATACTCTGATATCATTACTCAATGTTATAACATATAAGTTACACAGGATAAAGTGGTTACTTACATAAAGAGCAACCTGTAAAATAGGGGAAGAAAACTAAACTATTCACTCAGAATTGTTTTAAATAAAATAATGAAGTAAAGCGTTTCTTCAAGAAACATAAATACCTAAATAAATATAAAATTTATGTCCATTCAGCTGTCCATTTAATTCTAAAACCAAACAAGAATACATCTTTTTACATAATGACGTTAAATTAAATCTATAATCATTGAATAAAATATTTACGGTAATATATGTTATCAGAAAATATATTTAATGTGTGTTCATTCAACGCATTGAATGACATGGTTACACACTTGGCGATAAAGTAAGATAAAAAAATATTTTAATGTATGAAGGGTGAAAGTGAATAAGTCCACAAAGGGCACATTTTCCAAAATTATTTTAATATTGATAATAACAATTTGAATATTCTTATGAAATATTTCCAGATAAAACATGTTGATAAGAGTTCTAAATGATTTAATATGAACATCTATATGACATGAGGAATTACATTTTGTTCTAAAATAATTCATTATTTGTTACATACAGCTATGTTATATCGGATATCATGTATCTCATACCAAAAAACAGTCATATATAATACATTTAGTAATTATTTTATGTTTTTCTTTTGTCATGTCTGATACTGAATACTAAATACATTATTATTCATGGTATTACAGACCTTCTTCCATGAAAGCCCAATCCAGTTGTATGTTTAAAACTGAGAATGAATGAATACCGTAAGTTCTCAGCCCCCACATCATTTCTAACAGGCATATATTTGTTGGTAATTTGATACCCTTGATCTTCACCTAGCGCTTCTGATAATTCGCCGTTCATTTACGATGTATATAAGAGAGAAGTGTTTGTTTCTACATGCTAAATTTGATCTTCAGTTTGTTTTTAAAACGTTCGGAATTGAAAAATGCGGAAATGTACATAAAAATTATATAGTTCAGATGAAATACAGTGCAAAAGTTTTTTGGTTTTTATACTATGTGCATATTGGTGTTAATAAAAGAGATATTTGCCGCTGTGTTTCATCCATTCACGAGCACTTATGACCTGAAAATAAATGAAATCAAGAAAAAAATTAATATTACCATAATTTAGATAGTTTAAAAAAATATTATATCAATAAAATATCTAATAAAAATACAAAATGAAAATATCGCAGTTAATTGGGCGTCTAAGGTATACACACGTATGCTTCCCTCGTTGTCAGCCGAGATAAGACAAGTCACGTGACCGTTTTAACTCTACCTGAATACTTCAAACAGAGCGAATATAAGTTTGCTGATTTGCTAATATTTGTAATCAACCGGCCTACCTGCATAATAATGAATGTCTGAAAGATTTTGTTTTGTCTGGCTTGTTTAACGCGAACATTCTTGCACTGTAGATTCTATTTAGATTTCTTCACGTATCAGACAAATCATTTATAACATTATATTTCATCGCGAGACCTCCGTTTTATGAATTAAACGAATATAATAGATTATTTTGGCACGGAAAGTTGTTATCCAATGCTAATCACTGTTCATAGTGGTAGTCAAAGTAGGCGAGAAGTCGCTGTGGGGGATTGTCGCGACGTTTCGTAACGGATTGCCAAAACTTTGGCTGAAGCATTTCTTCGTTCTCACTTATTCTGAAGGTTATGAATCAAAAACTGAATTTTTAAGAAATCTGTCTGCACTTTTGTTCAGGCTTTTGTTTAAACAATATTTATTTCTTCTTCAATATTTATTTCTTCTTCAATATTTACAAACAAAATTACAGTACATAGATTGCATTGAGTAGAAAGTAAATTAAAGCTTATAAGAAACTCTCTTCAACATTTTTTTCAAACTTTGCCATGTTCATAAGACTCATTAAGGTTATACTGATTAATTCATTTTATATTTACAACACATTTAAGTGCAAAAATCATTTTTTTTTTCATACCCGAAATAGTTTTAGTATTTAAGCATCTTTCTTCTTTAGTTCTTACGATTGAAACTTAACCCATAGCCAACATTATCTACTGCTTAGGTAAAGTATGTCCAATTAGAAGCTTTCCTTTAGTTCACAACTGGCTCCATAGACTATATAATTGTTTCCATAATATCTAAATCTTACCCTAAAATTATAAAACTTGAAGAAGCGGCTAATTCACATGACGAGATGCACAGTGCTGGTGTTCTTCGTGCACGTGGGAAAAAAAATGAATAAGCTAATAGTACCCTCATTTTCAATTATATTTCATTTGATAATGCATTTCATTCAAACAATATTTGACTGCACTTTTTAAAGTTATATTGCTTTTGTTTTATGAATATGTTTTATTCTCAATATTCGTATATATGTGCCAAATTTTAGTGTTGCATACAGTTTTATTTCTTGAACGCTTGAATGCATACAACAATCATGTTTGCCTGACAACACCCTATATTCTTTTAGATAAAAATATCCTAAATGTTTCACACGCCATTATTCTTCGGTTCAGAACTGTCTCTATCTTATAATTTGTTAAGCGAGTCTTATCGAGATAGTTTTTGAAAGACGCCAATTATACTGGCTTTAGATAACTGTTACAATGTAAAAATAAGATAGGGCAATACCTACATATTCATTTTCATATCGCTAAGAAAAACGAATATAAACATCTTGGTAGTAGAAAGTGTAGAATATATTACCGTACATTTTTTAACATTTTCTTTTTTCTTGAGTAAATTTTTAAGTTGATGTTTCATTTGTTCACTTGTTTTCAATAGATGAATAGTTCCAAACAAATATGCTTTGTTCCGTCAGCAAGTTCCCTTAATCGAAAATAATTGAAATACATTAGTATTTGAATAACTTAAGTGTATTACTTTACATTTATTTTAAAGATATTAATTAAATATATATTTAAAGATAAATTACAGAAATTCAGATATCTTCCAATAACGTGTGTTTGTAGAAATTTACAAAGTTCTAAAATCTAAATATCAAAAATAAGCGCAATAAATATAGAGCATTTACGCACTTAATATGATAAATATGAACTTAATATGAATAATAACCGCACTTGATATGGATAGTAAGCCACTAAATATGATGAAAACGCACTTAATAAGAATAATAAACGCACTAAAGATTAAAAATAAATGCACTTTTAATGAATAATAAACGCACTTAACCTAAATAATAAACGGACCTAAAGTGAGGTATAAACGTACTTAATATGATGAAAACTTACAAACCGACTTTTCTTTAATTTTGCTGACAAAAAGTACAAGAGAATCAACATTTCAATGGTATTTTTCCATGTAGAAAAAGAAAAACCAATATTTTTAAGGAAGTTCCATGATTGTTTATCTTTTCGCCCATTAAAACGTTCAGCTCTTGTTTTAAATTTAATTGATGTTATTTTATCATTCAAAACCCTTTGGAACTAAATACATTCTATTTTTGTTTCTATTGCTTATTTTTGATATATATGTTTGTATCATAACTGAGAAGTAGGGTCTTTGCTCTGTGATAGTGTTATATGTTGGTCTTCTATTGATTCAAAACATGCTTTGATAATCAGTACCAACACTGCACGGTTAGTACCTGTATTCACACTTATTCTTATATGCCATTCAGTTTTCTGTTTGAATAATGTATAAAAACGTTTTACAAACATGTCTAAACTTGCTATTCTAACCATAGACATCTTTACATTTTTGGCAATTACCTGTTTTGATGCATTATTTAAACAAATGATTAATTTGGTAGTATTAAAGTATTTTTTCTTTATTTTTGAATCAAAAATGTATTTCTTTTATCCTCAATGAAAATATGAAAATAAAATGAATTGTGACAATCGCTAAAATGAACAAGAATTTGTAACAGAGTTACCAACGTCCCCCGCCCCGGGAGTT